GTGATGTTGTCTAATATTATTATAATTAACATTAAAATAATAAACTTGCCTAAACTGTTTTAGTTCAGTATTTTATATTAATTATAAAATGTATTTTCCTAAATGTTGTAAAAGTTGTTGTACAAAAGCGAATTTGTAAGAAGTAAACCAGCTGACATCCTCCATCCAGCTGCAGTCCAACCCGCATTGGGCCAGCGTCGCGGACTATGGCCTAAACCCTCGTCTGAAAAGAGACCCGTGCCCAGCAGTGGGACGTATAAAAGGGTTTATGATGAAACAAGCTAAAAGTTTAATTGAGTCTTTTTGTAACATTTGTTGTTACAAGTTGTCGTGTTATATTTTATAAAGCAATTACCTATCTTAATAACCAAAAAATAACATTAAAAAAAATGACATTTAAAATTTTATATTCACTCAATTCAAGTCGCGATTGGTTATTACAGCTGCTTTTAAACATAATTATACAGACGTATTTAAAGACTGATGCTAAATAAAAATTCTACAAAATGAATTCTGGTCATTTAAAACTTCTAAAATATCTCAAAGAAATGCATAGCCTATACATTTATATAGCGAACGGCTAAGGAGTGGAGTTCCCTGCCGGCAGATGTATTCCCTGAACGCTATAAGCTAGCTAGACGCCAGACGTGGTGAGCTCATCGCCTGTCCATAACCATGCATTGCCACTCAGAACTTTAAACCGCGAAGATCTGAGAGACACTGCCACTGCGCCTTTCGCCCTGCGACATAAGTTGACAAGTCCCATTTGCCTACAATTTCACCAACACCCTGATCCTTCAGAACCGGAACGCAGTAATGCTCAATTACTGCTTGGCGGCAGAAATAGGTAACGTGGCACTACTTCCCTGGACGAACTCTTTCCTACACATACTTCTTAGGCTCTTTTAGGCTTAGAGCTCTACTGCGCGCAATTGTAGAGCAGTACCCAAGCAGCACGCCCATATCTAAATATATACTATAAGATATCTATTAGAATTTAATTCGATTGAATATTTTAAGAGTTCAAATTCCCTCAAGATATCTCGAAGAAGGTTTCTAGACAATTTAAAGTAAAAGTAGGCACAACTTTATTAGTAGATCACAAGAGTGCTTTGAGAAAGTATCTGTAGGTAGTGTTAAGAGTGATTCTCATCTTTTTTCTGCAGTAACCCTTCTAGAATGCTACAAGACCATTTGTAGAATGTAGACAGTTTTTATTTAGTCTTGTAGATAGTTTTTAGATAATTTATAGTCTATGATAGTTTTCTTAGTAATGCTATTTTAAAACCAAAATACTAAAGCGTTACAAACATAGGACGCAATTCTCTTAAGGTTATACGAAAAGTGAGTTTATGCAATAAAAAACTTTTCAAAACAGTAGGTCAAAAAAACAATTGGAAAAAATCCAATTTGTCGCAAAAAAAACGTTATTCTGTATAATTCTGTAATAATTTAGTTAAAGTAAAGTTAATTCTGTATAATAGGGAATATGCTATAATATGACTAGAAAGGTGGATAAATTTCCTATCATTTAAATATAAGGAATATTTTAACGACATACCTACTTATTACATTTTATGATTGTGAGATTACAGATTAATGTTGAATCTAATTAATATTATAATTAATATAACTGCCTCTGTGGCCAAACGGTTACCATGTCGGACTGCCATGCAGAGGTCCCAGGTTCAATTCCCGTGTCGGGAGAAATATTTGTATGGCCTACATTTATTTCTCTCGTGAGTTTGGATGTAAGTTGTCTACGTGTGTGTCGATGGCACCCGCGACCCAGGGTTTCCCTAGGGCTATGTTGAGTGTGTACGTTATTATTTTATAGTGATTTTTGGGGATTGGCATTGGCAACGCTGATTGTATCGAATGATGTGACTTAATATCCAAGGTTTACCATCTCCACCAGATCTTTAAATATTCTTTACTTTATCCATTTTGCATGAACTCTTACTACGTCCAATATATTTATATATTGTATAATAAAGTATTTTTTTAAAATAAAATCTACTGAAGACGCGCTATAACGTGTTTGTCAATAAGTACAAACTCTACAGAATGTCTATAAATTAAATATATCTAGAATAAACTTAAGAACACTAGTTTTTATAGTATTAATAGGCTTTACTGGATGTGTATAGAACAATTTTACTAAAAATAATCAGTTGTTCTACAGATGAACTTAAAATAAGGACTATAAGAGTAAATCTTAAAAGAGATTACACTTAATTAAGATGTTTGGTATTAAGAAGGTGTTAAAATTTTGACTTGAGTGAAATAAGTCTATAAGAACAACTTCTTTTTTCTTAAACCATTTATAGAGAACTATTATCTAAATCTATACCATGTTAAGACTGTTTATAGGTAGAACAGTTTTAAGGCTTATAAAGTATGCTCCTTGGGTAGAGCTCCTTGTGAAAGAGTTCGTCCAGGGTAGTACTACCACCTTACCTATTTCTGCCGCCAAGCAGTAATGTTAGCATTACTATGTTCCAGTTTTGAAGGGTAAGGCTGCTGGTGAAACTTTGTCAACTTATATCTCAGTGTGACGGGCGCAGTGGTAGTGCCTCTCAGATCTTTGCAATTTAAATCTCTGAGTGGCACTGTAACTGTTATAGACAGGCGTGTAGCTTACCATCAGGCGCACGACTTGTTGGTCCCGTTACTTGATGTTACAAAAAAAAGAGTGGACCGGGATAGCCTCCGTCGAACAGCTGTTCCGATTGGCTGCTGATAGAGACAAATGCAGGAAGCTGATGGCCAACCTTCCGGATTGAAGAGGCACTCTAAGAAGAAGAAGTGGTTAAAGAAATGTTATTCTTGTTGTATTAAATTTTATTAAAACTGTCAGTGTCGCTATCTACCGAGCCGAGAGATAGGGTTTTCCGGAGAGACTACGGGCTCGACGGCAAGACCAGGGTATAGCAAGCATCCGGGCCAAGCTCTCCGCCAGTGATATGCCTTTGTAGGCATCTCTGGTGGACCCGGACTTGAGTATGGACTCGCTGGGGTTTGTGGTTAGCTACAGAGATGGACATATTTGTCTGCCCCGGTTGGGTGCCTCGTGAGCCGCTGGTGCGTCTTAGTAGCGGTCTAGTTGAGGGCCTGAAGCGAGAACACGCACGGGGCAAGTGAGTTGCCCTTTAAGTGGGAGCTATGTCCGGACATGGTCGCAGGATACTGCGACTGGCATCTCCGGCACTAGCCTTGAGAGCTAGTAAAGGATAAGCTAGATATCCTCCGGTCCCTCCAGCTGCTTGGGTTATTGGGAATTGTAGAGACGTCGTTTTTCGGCGTCGGGAAGTGAACGTGCCTTACAGCTCTGCCACCAATGAGGAGATTTGGTAGTGAACTGAGACTCGACGGCTTAGTGGTGGCAACCGCTAGTTGTACAATGCACAACGGGAAGTGAACGTGCCTACAGCTCCGGTACCTATCTGGAAAATAAGGAGGGTACTGTACGTGCACCCGGGGCGGCACACCCGAGGCACTAGACTCTCGAAGAACCACGTAAAGTTAAGTGACAGAGGTCTGTGACAACCCTGTACACTGGTTGATCTGGAGTCAGAACCTAAACTTATAAGGTTCCTGTGTGCGTGTTAGAAAAATCATATTTATGTCTACTAATTCTAGAGTCTATTATAAAGATGTTAAACTTCTATGAAATTGAAAAGCATAATTTTAGTAAACCAAATTTATTTCCATTAGAGTAACATAACATAGTAAAAATTGTTCGCAAACTAATTTTAAAAACAAAATGAAAAGCAGTACTTTCAAAAACATGACTCAGTTTTAATTTATAGCGTTGGTACAAAACAATATTGTTTGTAATTTAGTTGTAGTAAAAAAATAATTTGAGGAACAGGATAAACAAAGTAAAAGTAATAGCACTTCTAAAAGGATGGATTTAACGTACTAGTTAATACAGAATTATGACTGTGCTAGAAAAGGGAAATTAATTAAAATGGACAAGTTAAAACAACAACTACTTATAAAGGATTGCAAGACTAATCACACATTTAGGTACATTAACTATGCCGAAGCGTAGTAGCAATAATTTACCAAAGCAAAGAGACCTTACTTATATTTACACAACACAATTAGACAGTAGCAATAGAACAAGTTACAAAGCAGGTAGGTACTTAACTTTAGCTGGTTCTCGGTTCGGCACTTTTTCTGTCTCCTCCAGCTTTACAATCCTTTTTATACCCTTCAAAACCTCCTTTGATATTCATTCATACATACATATTATTTTGACCAATCACAAAATAATTATCGTTTACATTTGTACAGTGCTGAAGAGAATGAAAGCTTTTACCTAACAAGTTCTTGAAACATATTTATATTATAGATATAGAACTATAACAGTAATAGGAACCTCATAGTTGTCTTAATTAACCAAATATCATTAATTTTATACACCACAATATCGTCCAATCACAGAGCAGTATTTTTTTACTCCCTTGGTTGAGCATAAATAGTAAATGTTATGCATTACAAAGGTATAAAGTAACAAAGGCAATACATATTTAATTACTGCAATAATTATAAAAATCTCGTAATTATCTTAATTTAGCAAATATCATCAATTTTATATACCATAATATTGTCCAATCACAGAGCAGCATTGTTCAGTACACTTGGTTGAACGTTTAATAAATATTATACAGTACTAAGATGTAAAGCAAAAACTTCAAGA